GCAACCTGTACATGCTAGGTACTCAGGGTTACTTCCTCAGGGAGACAGTATGAACCCATCTTCCTTCCTGCCCCCAACAATCCTGTACCTGTAATACTGCAAAGTTCTGAAACGAGCACTAAAATGTGTCCATTTTCCTAACACCAGAAATTAGGGGTCATCCTAGTCTTGTCACTCACCTCTATCTTGTCTCTCCACCAAGGAGCCTGGGAGCCAAGCCTGCCCAGAATCCAGGACCTATTTGTGAAGTATTTATAGAACACCTTCATATTCTCTAGAATAAATTCTTACAAGGATTGAACACTGGAAAACTGGTTAATCCTTAACATATACATATTTGATTTGTAGAAGCATCATGAAAGACAACTACTTCTAATACTGAAAGCTTCTCTCATTTAAAAAAAAAAATTCTTTTAAGTTTAAAGAGATTTTTGTTTTTGTCCTTAAAAATCATGTGCATGACTTAGAAGTATGGCAACCATGAGAAGAAATACCTTGGGGGCTGGGGATTCAGTGGTAGAGCACTTCCCTACTATGTGCAAAGCCCTGGGTTCAATCCCCAGTACTGGGAGAAAAAAAAAAACAAAACACCAACCTAGGTTCCAAGTTAGAGAAATCTACTTTATAGTGAGATTTTTTTTTTTTTTTAGCACTACAATAATTAAACCTCTTAGATAAGAACAAATCAGCTTTATCCCAAATTTCACAGTAAAGAATAAAAGTCTGATGTATTTTTAAAGGTCTAAAGAGGCATGGTTATATCTTTTTATATCGTATACTTGTAAAACCCAAACATAGTCAGACAGTCCCAATTTTATATAAGTGCACACGAAGAAGATTCATAAATTCAGAATTAACTATTTGCATGATCTAAAAATTCATTCCAAAAAAAATTTAAACAATGAGTTCATTTTTGGTTTATCAATTCTGAGGAAGAGACATGACTTTCACATTAATTAATTACCCTCAAATTAGCTGGACATGACACTGGTGGGACTGCTTTCCTACAGTCACAGCTCTATTGCAAATGACTCAGCAAGCCTCCTCTTCATGAGAGGAGGAAAACTGCACAAAAGGAGGTGACACCACACAACCTCAGAAATCCACAGCTACAGGAAAGGAGACCACTAAAGAGCATAAAACCCAGGCCCAAAGCCAAAGAAGCACTAACAAGTATGCCATTCCTTTAAAGAAAGAATCTGGGACTGGGGATGTGGCTCAAGCGGTAGCACACTCGCCTGGCATGCGTGCGGCCTGGGTTCGATCCTCAGCACCACATACAAAGATGTTGTGTCCACAGAAAACTAAAAAATAAATATTAAAAATTCTCTCTCTTTTTTTAAAAAAAAATAATAATGAATCTGGCTCCTTATTTATAAAACTGAGTCAATAATACATTGAGGCTGCCAGTGTAGCTCGTTGGTAGAGTGGTACGTAGAATGTACAAGGTCCTGGGTTCAATCCGCAGTACCAACACACACACACACACACACACACACTGGACTTCATGGAACTAGGGAGGACTGATTGATAATGCTTTGAAAGAAAACACTTTATAAACTGCAAAAGCCCATAAAAATGTCAGTTAATATTAAAGTGAGAGTGCCAAATGAATTCTACCTTTGAATCCTGAGCTCCAAGGGCTCAGCACCATCTGCACAGTTGCAGGTGAAAGGCAAAGTCAACACAGATCATCTCCAAAGCTGAGCTAAAAGGAAATCAAAAGCACAGCACACCATAATATCAAAAAATTAAACTGGGGGCTAGTGTTGTAGCTCAGTGGTACAGTGCTTGCCTAGCACGTGTGAGGCACTGGGTTTGATACTCAGAACTACATAAAAAAATAAATAAATACAATAAAGTTATTAAAAAAAATTAAACTGGCAGAATTGAAAAGCCAGTCCAGGATACTCTTTATTTTAAATGGGAGCCAGTGGAAAAATTGATTCAATGAATAAAATGATTATACAGCCAACTTGACTGAACTTCTTGAAAGTTTTTCTGTAGCAATAATACAAATATTTGTCATTAATTATACTTAAATGTTTTTTGTTGATTTGCATCAGTAATATTCAGCCGACTACTTTGCTTTTGCTTACAAAGAAAAGTAAATGGAAGAAAGATCCGTTGGATTTATTATCACCACTAGGAAAGTGAAGGGCAAACCCTTCTCACTGATCAGGAGTCATCTCTGCATACCTAATAATGATATAGTTTTATTTTATTTATTCTGAATTTTATTGTTCTAAAGTGTGGTAAATTTTGTTGTGTAACTTTACATGGTTAAGTAAAATAGCTTATAAAATTCACTAAAAATAATAAATAACCATTCAGTTATTTTTATTATATTTATTGGAAGAATCTTATTCCACAAAGCACTTGAGGAGTTTGATTTCTTAGCAAATTTTGCCATCCTCTTACTACAAGTTTTATTATTCACTTTATATGCTGATGACAAATACAAAATACCCAGCACAACACCTAGAACATAATAAGCAACCCAAAGAATGTACTCATTAAACCCAGTAGGCTACAAATTGCATGAAGAAATGGACTCTCCTGTTCTGTGTTGTTCAGTCTTTCTCAAGAATCCAGTGCACTATTTGGCTTACAGTTGGTATTCAATAAATACTGCTGAATAAATGGTAGAATATGATTCAAGAGTAATTTCCAATTCTCACCTATTTTATGATTACCAGAGCCCCATCTTTCATCAACAGCAAGGGTACGGAAAAACCATACCCCAGAGGAAAGGCACTTAAGTTCCTGTTTATATTTCCTTAAACTCACCACAAAGATTCTCTCCCCTTCTGTCCCAAAACCACAAAATCAATGCTTTGCAACTGTGTATCCTTAAACAGTTTTGCATCATTTCCCCTCACAGACAATGTACAAAGTTCCTTAAAACTGCAAGACTTAGTTTAGTTCCCTTTACCTTTTAGAAAGATATTTACAAAACCCTATCAAGTCTCAACTTTCTGGTCAACTCCTTGATCTTTGAATCATTGTTGGTTGTCACACAGGCTTATTTCTTTTCACTATATATTTGGTACAAATTAAATTAAAATAAGCTTAAGTTTTTTAATATATTAAAGTTATATATCAAATTTCACTATACTTCAGAGCAATAAACTTGAGAAACTGACACATATTTCAATGATGTTGCATTCCTTAAAATAAAATTCAGAGATTCTGGACCTTAGGTCCAGATCAACAAGTCACACACACACACACACACACACACAAAAAAAAAAAAAAAAAAATGTGTCATTGCAATTATAACTCCTATATCATCTAAAACAGTATCACCAACTTGACTGCCTAAACTTTTTTATCAGGTACAGATCCAAATTCCATAGATTATTTGGATTCAATTTGACTTATTTATTTATTTATTTATTTATTTATTTATTATCTATGTTCAAATATCTGCTCTCAAAGGATGAGGAAAGAGAAAATCAACACAAACTCCAAATTGGATTCAAAAAGAAGTTTCAAAAAATGTTTTCCAATCATGTCTGAAAAGTTGCAAAGTGACAGAAAAACTTCAAATAGCCACAGTACTCTGAGAGACACTTGTAAATCTAAATTATGGTATTTCCACTCTGAAATCAATTTATACTGTTTACAATCAATTGCCATATATAATTTCAATTGTCTTTTCCTCCAATGAGAAAATATTATTGGTTACATCTTAAATCTCTTTAGAAGAAATACTAATACTAGAGCAACAAGAAGCAAACAAACAAACAAAAAAAAAAAAAACAAAACTCTGCCTCCCTAGAAAGACACACTTAAGAAACATAATAGTGGTTGTCTCTGAGGAAAGGAACAGTGCAGCTGGAGAACAGATTTTCACCAAATATCTTTGAGAATTCTATACAAAGTGAACATGTAAACACCTATTATTAAAACTCCATTTAACAAAAGTACTTTCAATTTGTTAGATGCTGCTGGCTTCTGTACCCACATAAAAAGATAGTATTAAAGACATACTGAAGGAGTTCATCTTAATGGCATTTTACTGTGAATCCGGACCATCTATTATTATTCCAGTGCAGAACAACTCACACTAATAGTAGGAAACCCTGCAAAGAATTCTATTAAAATTCATCTGAACTCTCTACAGTTGAATTACTTGGCTGTATCCCTCCATTAAAGTTCAAACATCATTGGAAACAAAAACCTGATACTGTAAGAATTAACGTATCAATTCAAGAAAAAAAATGGAGGGGCACTAATAAGTTATTAAATATTAAAGGAGGAACACCCAAATACACCTTTGAAAATTAGCAACATCAAATAAATATATGAAAGCAAAATGCTGCAAATTCCTTTAAAATGTAAACTGTCATGTTGCGCAAATAAGTGAGAGATGTCAAGCCTAGTGCCATCTGCAACATAATTTAAGCAGCTTGAACTTGAAAGTGCAATATGATCTGTTGCTGAACACAATTGCACAATCTCAATTACCCAGAAGATTCTACCAAACAGGAAATTCTTGATGTGACTTTGAGAAACACAGAATCAAAGATTAACACATCCAGAGCCTGGAATTTATTCCAAAAAAAACCAAAAAACAAAAACATTTCACAGGCTCCTTTTCAAATAATACATGCACATGTATTACTAAGACATAAAAAAGGCTAATTACTAACTTATTACTAAACATAGAAAATTAAATTTGATAATTTCAGACCAGGACCTTTCAAATTATAGTAAATCTAAAATACGAGTATAAAGCCTTAGAAGTTGGAGAGAAGTTAGTAAAATATTTTAAGACAGGAAATTTTATAGTATGGATTTAATTGAAAACACACTCATGGTGTAAATTAAAGCTGGAAAATCTCTCGTCCTTTGCTATATGTTCCAGATCCTCATGAAAACCATCGTATACCTCAGGCTGTAAGTGTAGATAAAAGTTCCCTGCAAACTCTCTAAGGGACATTAAAAACACAGTATTCACAGAGATTATCTCAATTAAAAAATATTTACAATACCTCCCTTCACTGTTAACAACTTTTTGATCTTGAGGGCGCCCAACGGATCTGAATCTCTCCTGCTCCACATGAGAAAATTGTTTTGTCAAACAATACTTAAATGAGCAGTGGTATGTGACTAATCAGAGGCTGCCGGTTTCTCAAGCTGCAGTGTTCTTGCAGGCACTTCCACCCCCTCCATGAAAAGGAAATACGCTTTCAACTGAATCGGAAACACACCACTCAAGCTGGCACAGCGCTCAGCGAGATAAAGTCGGTATTTTAAGCTCTATGGGTAGCTGCTAATGCAAGTGCGAATTCAAAAACGACGCTACTCAAAACGGGATTTCGACAGAGGCTTACAGAAAAGCCCAGAGAGCCTTTCCTCGCCAGTTTTGTTCAAATGACCGCAGTCCCCGGGTCGGGCTTTGCTCTTTGGCGTCTCCAGGCAGCTCGCTAGGTCCGTCTGCTCCGGGGACAGGCTCTGACGCCCCAGGTGGGCACAACCCGGGACAGGGTCCTTCAGCTCGACCCTGGCAGGAGAACCCCCGGGGAGAATAGGCCTTCCCCAGGTGCCAGCCCTGGGAGTTGCAACCCCCCGAGAAGAGAATGCACAGGGTGTGAGCCAGGGCCGAGTTCCAGCAGCACCACCACCGCTCACAGGGGACCTGCGTCCTGCACACGAGGCTAATCCCCTACCTGCGTGTGCAGGGTGAGGGGTGCAGGACAGACAGGACTCCAGGAGCAGCAATGCCCTCCCCCCAGGAAAATTCCTGCCGCTTGGCGCACGCTGAGCCATGGGGACAGGCCTGGCCCTCGGGCATGAGACCACCCGGTTCTCCTCGGCCCCAAGCCCAGCGACACTCACCACACGGAGCCATAGGCACCGGAGCCCACCGGGGACAGGTTCTGATAACGCTCAGGCACCTCCCAGATTGTCTTGTTCAGCTCCTGCCGATAGAACGTGGGCCTCTCTTGAGACATTTTCCAGCGGCGGCCGCGGGGTGAGGAGGTGGCCCTGCTGGGCCCCCGCCTGCACCCGCACCCTCTCCCCGGCCCTCGTTGCCCGCCCGAGCGGGCGGGGACCCGGCGCTGGCCGCCCGCGCAGGTGTGGCTGGAGACCCCGCAGACTCCCGCGCGCCCGCGCGCGGCCCCTGTCAGCTGCAGCGGCTGGATGCGCCTCAGATACCCAGGCAAGCCCAACTAAGGGCAGGAGCACGCTCTGAGGCTCAAAGCTGCGCCTGTTGCAGTCTCGCTGCACCAGCTCCCGGACTAGGCCGACGGCGAGTTGCGCGACTGGTCACCCGCTCCAGCTGCAGCGGCCGCTCAGGCTCCAGTGGTCGCAGTTCCAGAGCCAGCGAACTGGAGCCTCTCGCCGTATTCTCGCGAGAACAGATCCCGGGACTCTCGGCGAGCCGAGATTTTACCCAATATGGAACCTGCCAATGGGAGGGGGTTCCTCGGAGGAAAGACTAGGAGGAGCAATTCTCGCGATAAGAGAGCAACAGCTGGTGACCAGAGGCAGGAACTCCCTGGAACTGTTCTTCGGGGCTCCAAAGGCGGACCCGGGAACATAAGCCGCGTGCGCCTCACCGTGGTCGGCGGGGAAATCCCTGGCTCGGTGGCGGAAAGCAGTAGTGACAGTGTTGGGAAGAGCCAAAAGACCTTTGAACTGCGAATAGTCAGTCACCAGCAGACGAGCACCTGATGCGCAGAGCCTGCTATTTCTAAGAAATTCTTGCATAAATATGCAGGTTTCGTCCAGAAAGGCTATTGCATCGCGGTCTGTTCAAGGACATATGGCTTACTATATGGAACTCTGTCGAAATCCGTTCAAAAGGCAATTATTAGTCCTTCATCAAAGTTAAGGTTTTCCATCCAAACTCTCCTAGTAGTTCTTAAACTTTTACATGCACAGTTTGTTTTTTAAAAGCAGATTCCCAGGATCCATCGGAAGTTTAACTGGGTATGTCAGAAGTAGGCATCAAGAATACGCACTTTTATTATATACATCCAGGTGGTTATGATTCAGGAAAATCTCTGCCAACCCTCTTTTAGATGCATTTTAAAATAGAGTTGCTCTGAAGGTTTGAAAGTGACTCTGCCCTGAATAGCCGTCCAATGAAGGGGATTTTTAAAGATCTAATTCATACCTCTCAGAACAGGGGAAGGGGTGGTCTTCTGGCGGTGTCACATTTAGGCACACCAGTTGGCCTTTCTTAGACCTTAATTTTAGCTTCTGCAAGGAAATTTCTGCTCCGTTTTCAACTAATAATGTCGTTTGTCAAGAATATAAATGTGAGCCCGGCATGGTGGCTCATGCTTGTAATTCCAGCAGCTGGGGAAGCTGAGGCAAGAGGATCGCAAGTTCAAGGTCAGCCTCAGCAATTTAGAGAGACCCTAAGCAACTTAGCCAGACCCTGTCTCAAAATTAAAAAAAAAAAAAAAAAACATAAAAAAGGTCTGAGGGGTGGTGGCTTAGCACTCCTGGGCTCAATCCCTAGTGTCAGATAGACAAATATAGATATAGATATATAGATATAGATATAGATGAATCGGCGAGATATTATAACCCTATACCTACACCCACTACTATAAACCTTTTCCTGTTAAGCTTGTTAAAATGTTAACGTACAGCATTTACAATGTTCAATGTTAACAAACTTAATGTAGGCATAAGTTTATGATAGTGGGTGAAGGTATGGTACCTTATAATGTTTTCTTAGCTATTTCTAGAAAGAACTAGGTCCAAGCCAGAGAGGGTTCCGAGGGGCTCCGGCGGCCTGCTACGGGGAGAGCAGGGTATGGGGAGAGCATCCAAATACCCCTCTCTCCACCAGCTGCCATGCTCCTCTTTCTCGCCCCACTCTTGTCCCCCGCCCGTCCGGAACGCCTGCGGGTTCGGGGGCAACGGCTCGGGAACGGCCGGAGCCCTGTGAGATCCCAGCGTCTGCATTCCGCCCCCGCCAGGGCATCAGGTGAACGGCTGCCTGGAGAAGCCAGGGAGCTGAGGGCTGCAGGTTGTGAGGACGAGACCGCGGCGCGGGTCCCAGGGACAGGGCTGAGTCGGTCACAAGCAGAGCAGGCACGTCGCGGGCGCTCAATATTTGTGCAATGAATGAACGACCGTCGCCTCTGGGGGCTTATCGCTCAGGTACTGTCTCTCCTTTGAAACGCCGTGTGGAATGGCAATGACAAGAGACGGGTCCTTTCACAATCGCCTGTCTGTTGTCAAAAGCCACTGAACTGGCCCGCTGCCTGCGCTTCACCCACTACCGCATCCATCTCCTCTGGCCTTAAGCCCGGGCTCTCCTCGTCCTTTCAGATCTCACTGCTTTTGTTCATTTTGTTCCCCAATTCCCCACCCCCTTGCCCCTTCTCTTACCCTCAAATCCCGTTTATGCATCTGTGGCCCTCTATGAAACTTTCTCCAACAGCCCCATCTCAACAAGTCTCTCTCCCACACCCGCTGATATTACACTCACCGCATCTACTTAAAGAAATCGTCCAGTATTTATCTGTCCCGTGGTCAGTGGCTTGATTGTCACCTTGAACAATTATCCATTTCCAGCCACTAGACAAAGTTACTGAAGGGTACTAATGGTAATGAAAGCTCTTTGCTTATGCCTTTTCTAAATTTCCAGTTCATTCCCCCCAAAAACTTAGGTGGTTACAGGCAAAAGATTGTTGCTGAGGGAATTACAAATGCTTATTTTTAAAAATTTAATACCAATCTCCAATTAGTATTTTTGCCTCAGCCCTCCTATCCCCAGCACTGCCCAACAGTGCTTTCTGTAATAATGAATATGTTTTGTTTCTTTTTAAAAAAAATCTTTATTTTTTATTTATTTATTTATTTTTACATGGTGCTGAGGATTGAACCCAGAGACTCATGTGTGCAAGGCAAGCTCTCTACCACTGAGCCACAACCCCAGCCCTTAATGAATAGTTTCTTATCTGTACTATTCAATATGGAAGCCACTAGCCACATGCAGCTGTCAAGCACATGTGGCTGTCAAGTTGCTAGTGCAACTGAGGAGTTGATTTTTTTTTTATGTTTATTTTTTAGGTGTAGATGGACATAACACAGTGCCTTTATTTTTTTATGTGGTGCTGAGGATTGAACCCGGGCCCTGCCCATGCTAGGCAAGCACTCTACCGCTGAGCCACAATCCCAGCCCCTGAGGAGTCGATTTTTAAAAAATTTTAATTAAGTTTAATTTAAATAGCCATGTATAGGCAGTGGCTAGCATGCTGGACAACACAGCTCCAGACCATGTCACTGACCCAATCAGTCTTCTCCAAGTATATATCTCCATGCATATTATTGCTCTTGCTCCAAGACTTTAAATAGCTAACAAATCTAGGTTCAACCCAGCATTCAGGATCCTCTGAGAAAAATTTTCAACATACTTTCTTAAATTTAACACTGACTTGAACCCAATCTGTTCAATTACTTGCCTTTTATTGCCTCCAATTTTAACCTGTTCTTTCCCTAAAATACCTGTTCCTCTTCCCTGCTCTCAATTAAGATAGAACTTAATTGAGAGGTATTTCCTCCATGAGAGGTAGTATCTTACCCATCCCCCCATGCTGGGATTCTTAATACCGTTCTATAGGAGGTTATATGGTATTAGGATGTGGCATTTATTTTGGAATGAGAAAGATTGGGCTCAAATTATTGTTTTGCTCTTTAATTGTTCTGTGATTCTAAGGAACTCACTAAACTCATCAGAAAAATAAATATAATTGTTACCAAGAAAAGACACCTACCCTTTGGAAGATATTGGTATAGGGCAGGCCAGCAGGAAGTGCTAATTTCTATTTTTTCTACCTCTAAACTCTCTCAGCACTATATTTTTGTATTTTTATTCTCCTAACTTTAAAGTCTGTTCTTTTGTATCCCCAAAGCACTAGTATTCAACAAATGTTAGTGGAGCACTAGGTTACTTGACCATGGGGGAAGTAGCATTCTTGAGTCTGAAACCAGTGAGTGGATATAATAGCAATTTATAAAATTATGAACATAAAAGCAGATGAGCCCACCAAATCCTAGTTTGATAGATGGGAGCCACCTCTTGTTATATAAACAATGTACACTGAAAGCAATAAAATGAAATTCTACTTTCCATAGCAAACTAATAAGATATCATAATCTAACGGGTACAATAAGAAAATATAAATATTTCTGCTTCAAAAGGATATTACAAGAATTCCTGGGAGATAAACTATAATTTATAATGAAAGGATATGAGAATATTTTTCTACACTGTTGGTCCCCAGACCACATCTAGCTTGGCGAGATGCTTTGTCAGATGCGCACTGTGTTTTAAAAAACATGTAATATAGGACTGAAGGATGTAGCTCAGTGACAGAGCACTTACCTAGCATGTACGAAGCCCTGGGTTCAATCCCCAGCAACACACACACACACACACACACACACACACGTAAAGTAATGGATAACATTTACAAGTCAGATGATTTCACATAAAAGTTTGGAATTATGGCTTCTTCTGGAAAAGACCAGCTCTGGATTCACTGGACCCACCAAGACCCATGACAACAATTGCTGGAGCTAAGCCAGCTGCTG